TTTCACACAACATTGAGACAAAATGTGATTAAAGTGCCATTATCCCGTGAAGAACCAGGCAAGAAACAACAGTAACTCATTTACAGAATTTTCCTGTGAATGACTTTTTCCTGTTTCCTGCCTGGTTATTCTCTGGTTCTTCATGAGATAATGGCACTTGCATTAATGTCGTTTAAATGTCAATTGCGCAATTTTCAACTCCCAATTTCCCCTGTGTGATAAACTCCTAAGTCAGGAACAGTGGGGAAATCAACCAAAACAAAACCTGTTTCATAATCGGAAGAATGATCAACTCTATCTCAATGCAGTGATCTGAGGTAGTATACTGAGTCCACGAAAACTCATACTTAAACTTCTTTCTCACAGTTTGTCTCAAAGGTGCTACAAGATCCCTTTGCAAACTGATATTCCAGACTAACAAGGTGATGGCTCTGAATTCTTTCTCAATAAGAAAGAGAAAAAGAAATTCAAATCAGGATCCGTTACTCTTTGCCTGTATAACTTTGAAGAGATATTGGGGGGAAGCAGACGGGAGCTTCCCGTGCGCCGCGGGACGGAGCGCCGCTGGACCGCGGCAGCCGCACCGCGGCGCACCGTCGGCAACCCTGGAAGGAGCGCTAAATCAGCGCTCCTTCCTCAAGACAGCGAAAGTGCGCACTAAAAGCGGCGGGCGCACTTTCGCTGTCTTTTCCTCCGCGGCGCATGTGGTCGCCGCGGCGTGAGGTCATCCCCAATGCGCCGGTCGTGCGGACGGCCGGCGCATCTGGGGGCGACCTCGGAGAGAGGAAGGGGCGCCGTTCGTGCGGCTGCCCCTCCTCTTCTCTGCCCAGAAGACGACTTTATTAGTCGTCTGCTTAGGGCCTTAGTCTCCCTTCATTTACTTTATAAATAAATCATATTGTTTATGTCATCCTCACACACACCAATCTAAAATTCCAGAGATGTTTTTGTTCATCAGGAACCTGGATTTCTGTCTATGCTACACCAAGCTTGTGAAAAGACAACGCCGAAGTGATTTCTGTGAGATCTCCATTCTTAGGATTTGAAGAGTTGCCCATATGATCCACCTGGATCAATGGAGAGTTTATACAAGTCACCTTTAGCCTCTCACAACAAGCAACGACCCTGCTTTCTTGCTCTGAAACTATGTGAAGTTCCAGGCCTCTCCAAGGGTGCTTTTGGTGCTGAACACTGACACATGCTGCTGCTATATCATAAGCTTTATAGATGGTAAAGGTGGTACCCAGCAAAGGGGCATCCCAGTGCTTTAAACTGTTGGAGCCCAGCATCCCCTCACAGTCACTAACAGAAATGGTCCTCAAACTAATTCTACGCAGACTTATCCTTTGGACAGCAATCACATCTGTAGTGATGGGCATCTAGGTAGCACAGCCAAGGGAAGAGTCTCCCCTCCAGCTTACAAAGGGTTAATAATGTGATGAGGTTAAGTTACATTTTAATAGAGCATCATAGAAGTGACGAGAGACAAGATTCCCAGTGGCCAGTTGGGCAGAAGCATAAACATTCGGAGGTCCTTGTCAGTGGAGGTTATAAAAGTCTCAGGTGACCACAAGACAAGAGACTCTAACAAAGAGGAGAAAAAAGGATGCTTAGGGACAAGGACTCCTATCCCACCTTAATGAAACAGGCTGTGACTGGACAAAAGTATCCAGGCTCCTACCTATCCCCGTGAACATCAAGGACTAAAAATCCCATCTGCATCATGAGTAGCTAGAAACTTTTTAGCCAGCTTGCATCAGGGCAACAATATTTAGCTAAAATGATCTAGCCTAGTCTATAAGTTGTAACTACCGTATTTTCCGGCGTATAAGACGACCCGCATATAAGACGACCCCCCCATTTTTCCAGTCAAAATATAGAGTTTTAGCACCTCTATCCTCATTATCCTTATATCCGGCGTATAAGACGACCCCCCCCACTTTAGCCACAGATTTTGCAGGTAAAAAAGTAGTCTTATACGCAGGAAAATAAGGTACTAAGTGTGCTTGAATGAAGGTGGGTTCATGGCCAGGGACCACACCAGATGACACATCTTAAGGGAGGGGTGAAACCATTGTTCCTCAAACATTTGTTTTTTGGCAGAAATGGACTGTGATGTTCAGCTGCATCCCTTTAAAATGTGGGGCTCAGCAAAAGAGATGGTGTGAGTGGGGCAAGCCTCAGTGGGAGGAGAGAAAGGGCTCAGGGTTGTTTTTTTAAGTTACATTTGTAAAAAAATATTCTTTAAAATTTTTCTTTAAAAACATCACATCTTCACTTTAACAACTTGAAACTACATGCATGTAAATACATTTAGGCTGTGTATATGATATTGTAATTTGAAGGTATAATTTTTAATTTTACTAGTTATTTATGTCACTATTGCCATTACATTCAGTTATATACAAGAATCATGATTTATGAGTAGCTTTAGTACAAAAAAATGTGGTATGGGAGAAGGTCAATGAGGAGGTAACACTATGAGTTGACGTACCAGGTGATGCCAAACCTAGTGACACCACTGTTCATGGCAGAGATACCCTTTTGCTACTGTAGATTTCTTAGGGCCTTTGCAGACTGCTACAAAAAGTGCAAATTGAGTCCACTTTAACTGCCCTGGTTCAGTGCTAGAGAATCATGGGAATTGTAGTTTTTTCTGAGACATTGAACCTTCTCTGTCAGAGAGCTCTGGTGCCATAATAAACTACAGTTCCCATGATTCCCTAGCACTGAGCCAGGGCAGTTAAAGTGGACTTAATTTGCACTATTTCTGGCAGTCTGCAAAGGCCCTCACTTAGAATAAAACCTTTTCCTTTAAAGTACATCTTCTCTCTCACATTCCTTTCATGTGCCTTTGCTTGGATCCATCTCCTCATCAGGGTTGCGGAAGGAAAGTCTCTGCAGCATCGGACGAGGACAGCTCAGTGCAGAAGACTCCCAGCAATGGCCCACTGTGTTGCTACGCAAGGGGAATTCAAATCAATGGGTGGTGGCAGCTAAGATAAGTGCTCTCTGAAGGTCCCATTCTGCGCAGTAGAAGCAGGAGGAGGAAACCTCAGAAACATCACAACATCCCAAACCCATTGCTTATGGGGAGACCGTTGAGCCCCAGTCTACTGCCCCAGGCCAACAGAAGATGGACTCCAAAGGGTTACACAGTGCAGTAGCAAACAAAGAAACTCAAAGTGTACAAGCATGACCCATCTTCTTCCACTGATAATTATGAAAACTATGCAGAGAGGTTAGCCGTAGCGGGAAATTCACTCCCCCAGCCCGTTCTCAGCCTTCATATATCTTCCCAGCCTCAAACTGTCAAGCAAATGCACAAAGTATCAAAAAAGATCACTAATACAAACAGACTCTTTCATGCCACTAGACCACTGTTAATGTATGGTTATGATGTTAACAAGAACTCTCAAACCCATCTGCATTTGGCAGAAGACCAACTCACTACACCACATTTTTAAAAATGACAGATTTAACTGGGAACAGAGTATTCAAAGCAGCCTTCTGTCCACAAAGGTCAGGATACATATGTGGTTTTTTTAAAGTATCCCCAGAAATGAAATTTATGGTGACTTTTGCTACCAGTGAATGCAGCTACATCCCTGTTGGGATTCGTCCCTTTAAAATAAGCAGCAGATCGGCCTGTCTGCAGCTATTCCTGACCAAGAAGAGAAGGACATGATTGTGCCAAAGGGCAAGCGAGACCTCCCTGACTATTTTTAGGAAACTGCGATAGAAAGTTTGGACTCTCCCTTCTCAACAACTCCAGGGCATCAAACCCCACGAACAGAAATTAGTTTCTCAAAATAAGGGCCCTATCATATCACACATAGGAATGTGCACCCACAGCGCCCGTATGGCAGTGCGCACAGGAGCACACAGCCATTAAAATAAGTGGGGCTTGAATATCTGCGTTTTTCCCCTTTCACGGTGTGTTTGTGCGTGGAACAGATCCCCCATGAACAGGGAGAGACGACTGTATTTTATTCTTGAAAGTGAGAACAAATAATTGTCACAATTTTCTATCAGATGCAGAGAAAGCAGATATACTCAGCCCATGGATTCAGCCACTCATATCTTGAAAATTTTGAAAAAATGTATAAATTCCAAAACGTAAATCTTCATTTTGTCATTTTATATAAATAACACAATATTACAATGCCATTGTATTTAATGGGACTTGAGCATACATGGCTTTTGCTATCCATGGTGGGTCCTGGAACCAAATCCCAGCAGATACCCAAGGGCCTCTGCATTTCTGTAGAATTCTCACCCAGTACTGGCACATTTCTAAGTGTTTGGGGAAAGTATCTTGTGCAAACATATACTGAGTGTGTGTGTATATGTGAGAACTGCAGTTTTTTGTTAGAAAAATTTTGTTTCCAAGGTAGCCATGTGGGTGTGGAGGTGTGTGCAAAACTGCTGCTTTCTACACAGAACCCAACAATCTCGCACACAAAAAATCTCATATAGAAACAACATTCTACAACAAAACGATGTGTGTCATTTTTGTGCAAGATTGTTTCTTTGTGCCTTTCGTGTCTAAGATTTTTTGTTGTGTAAGATCTTTGTTATACGAGATTGGTTTTTCTTGCATAGAAAACAGCATCTTTCATTAAAAACATATGTTGCTACAGTATTTTTATCAGGTTTTTTTAAAACAAAAATGGCCCTGGGGACACACTTTGCCTACATGAAAGTGCAACCCGAGGCAAAAAGAAGATTCCACATTCCACAATCTACATTAAAGGTAGATTGATTCAATTAGGGAAGCCATAGCTAATCTGAGTTTGCAAGGCCTGAGCAAGACTGTCAATAAGAAGATGATGTGAAGATGTCTCATTTTTATTTTTTTTATTTTGGGTCCTCAAGCCGTTTCCAACTTATGGTGATCCTAAGGCAACCCTATCACAGGTTTTACTGGCAAGATTTGCTCAGAGGGGGTTTGTCTTTGCCTTCCTCTGAGGCTGAGAGCATATGACTTGCCAAAGGTCACCCAATGGGATTCGAACCCCGGTCTACAGAATCATAGTCCAATGCTCAAACCACTATGCCACACTGGCTCTCATTCATAGGTCATAAGTCGAACCTGGCTTAATGGCAATTAACAGCAATTGAATAAATGCAGGGTTTGGCCAGTCTGAATTTTACCCAGCATGGCCATGATATCAATTACCTAAAGACAGCAGAAATAATAAATAGGATAGAGGTACATGGTTGTCACCTGCAACCCATCCTCTTTTACCTTTTCAACATCTGCTTTCGTCACGTTGATGTCAGCGTCCATCTTTTCAAAATACTGCTGTGCTCTATCAGCTTCTTTGCAATCCCGTTCGAATCTTCGTTTACTCTGATGAGATGAAGGAAAGGAAAACCATTTTTATGGAAGCAAGAGAATGATCCATACACATGTCGCCGAGATCACATTGGGGCTGCGTGTTTGTTTATTGGTTCAGGAGATTCAGGTCTAATCTCCGCTGCAGAAATAATGCAATCTGACAACTGCCATGGCTTCATGCTATGAAATCCTGGGATTTGTAGTTTTGTTAGATAGTTAGCCTTTCTGTTAGAGAGGTGTGGTGTCACAACAAACTACAATACCCAGGATTCCATAGTACTGAGCCATGACCATCAAAATGGTGCCAAACTGCATTATTTCTACAGTGCAGATTAGACCTTAAATCAGAGGATGGTCCAAGTATGACCCTGGGTCCATGTGTAGCCCCCCAAAGCTGATTTTGCTGTCATCAACCCCTCCCAATTCCCCAGACCAGCCTTTTCCTGACCATAAAAAGGATGAACTCCCTCTCCTTGAAGCTTCCCCTGAAAGGCCAACAGGATCCCCTGCTGCAGTTAAACCTTAAGAAGATCCATTTTTCAAAACTTCAAGTGGGACGTCTGGCAAGATTAGAAGCAGCATGCAATGGATAGAGAGATACAAATGAATTTGTCCCTTTCTATTTGGAAAAAGAGACTCTGGTCCTTGCCCCTTAAGGAAAAGCTATCTGAAAGACTGTATCTCCTCATACAAAGTCCAACACATTTTCAGGTGTAACTTAATAATTGCTACTAAATAATTGCCAAACACAGCTCCACCATGCCTTGGCCTCAGTGCCTGGTGAGAGTTTCCCTTCCCCTTGTCAACTGTCATTGTTCTGGCCTCTGAGGGACAGAAAAGCAGCCAGGGACGGGTCCATGATCCTGGTCTCCAGTGGCTGATAAGAGACCCTCCCTCCATATTCCAAATGTCATTGCTCTGGCCTCTGAGGTTGAGAAGAGCAGCCAGGGAAAGCTGCATGCTGCATCATGCCTTGGTACAGCAGCTGGTGGGAGACCCTCCATCCATGTTCCACTGCCAGTGCTCTGGCTTCTGAGGGAGAGAAGAGCAGCCAGACACAGTGCATCTTGCCCTGGCATAGTGGCTGGTGAGAGCCCCCAGTCCCCATGTTGCAACTACCATTGCTCTGGCCTCTGAGAGAGACAAGAGCAGCCAGGCACAGCTCCATCATGCCTTGGTCCAGTTGCTGGTGACAGGGCTTTCCTCCATGTTGCAACTACCATTGCTCTGGCCTCTGAGGGAGAGAAGAGCAGCCAGGCACAGCTCCATTATGCCTTGGTCCAGTTGCTGATAACAGGGCCTTTCTCCACATTGCAACTGACATTGCTCTGGCCTCCGAGGGAGAGAAAAGTAGCCAGGCACAGGTCCATCATTCTGGGTCCCAGTAACTGATGAGAGACCTTGGTGGGAGACCCTCCCTCCATATCCCAACTGTCAGTGCTCTGGCTTCTGAGGGAGAGAAGAGCAGCCAGGCACAGCTCCATCATGCCTTGGTCCAGCTACTGGTAAGAGACCCTCTATCCTAGGGGTAGGCAACCTTTCCCCTTTAAGGGCCGAGGGACTTTAGCTCCCAGAATCCCAGGAGCTATTGGCCAACATGGGACTATTGGCCAACATGGCTGAGGCTTCTGGGAGCTGAAGTCCCTCGGCCCTTAAAGGGGAAAGGTTGCCTACCCCTGCTCTATCCGTATTCCAGCCACCACTGCTGTAGCCTCTGAAGGAGACAAAAGCAGCCAACATCTTCTGGATTTAATCCCCTTCCCGACTGCCATTCCCTTTTCCTTATATGTGGTGTCATATTTAAATGATACGCAGGGAACTGTCAAATTTATGATTTGTAAGCTGCCTTGAGAGCCTTTTTGGCTCTAAACAAAGAATGGCAATGGGAAATTAGGTAGTGGACACAGGAGACGCTAACAGGGTATGATTGCCCCCTGCCTAAAAAGTTGTTCAAGTGTTGTGGTGCAAGAGTGTTAGGAGGGACTGGCACAGATCTGTGCTTCAGTAGGCACTTTGCCACAACTTATTACATTTGTTCCTCCACATTTGTGGCTTTGACTTTTGTGGATTTGATTATTCATGGATTTGATTAATATGTTCTCTCTAAGAATATCTAGATCCTCCAACGTGACTCTATTGTCAACTTCTGCCAAAAGTCATGCTGGCATATCAAGAGATTCCTAGAGAGAACACTTCTCTAGGCATTTGTAAGTCCTCTAGCACAATTTCATGGTCAACCTCTGACAGATCTTAACCGCAGAATTGCCCTGTAGGACCTAGAGATTCCTAGAGATGTTTTTTTTATTTGCAGTTTTTCCATTTTCTCAGGGGTCCTATGCCCCTAACCCCAGAGAATGTGGAAGGTCCAACATACACAATCCCACAAACTCTGGGTGCAAGGTGCATTTGTACTCACCGATTCAAGCTGTTTCCAGCAGGTCTCAATGTGTTGCTGTGCTTTTCGGCCATCATGGAAATTCTGAGGGAAAACACAGACAAATAATTATTTTTAAAAAATGGTGCCATGGCAAAAAGGTGAGGTATGTGCTTCTGTTTGTTTCTGCCAGGTAAGATTGGGGTGGGCTGCATGTGGGTCTCTGGCAAGGTCCAGTGTGGCGCTTGAGACTCCCCATCAGCTCCACACACCTCTCCCCATTCTTCAACATCTGAACAACTTATTTGAATAACCAGCAACATGTTTGTGGAACTGTTACATGCTGATTTGGGGGTTACTCACCCCAAAACAGTGAACTGTCTCCCAGGATTGTGGATTCAGTAGAATTGCACCAACTCTGACTCCAGCTTCAAAATAAAAAAACTGATCATGTTAAACACCTAGTATGTTGCATATGCATGGGAATTTAGGAATGTTTTCTTGTTCAGAAATTTTAATACCTTAAATATAGTCTTATCAGTCTAAGTAGCCTCTTGATTCTCAAGGTGGTGATGAAATGTCTTGTGCTACCATTTCACCACAGTAAATTCATTATTGCTAGTTAATAAATATTTGCTATCTATGAAGGAATCATAGATAATGACTAATCCAAACTAATCATTGCAGACTTGAATGCTAAAATTGGCAACAAAGAAGAATCAAAAACAGTAAGAAGATTTGGATTAGGAACAAGAAATAAAGCAGGGGGCTATCTGATAGAATTCTGTGAGGCCGATAATCTATTCATTGCAAATACTTCCTTCATACATCCAGATAGGAGACTATAAACCTGGACATCACCAGATGGTAAACACAAAAATCAGATAGACTACATAATTGGAAGTAGAAGATGGAGAAACTCTATCCTTGTGGCCAAAACCAGACCAGGAGCTTATTGTGGCACAGACCACGAACTGCTCATAACAAAAATCAGAGTTAAACTGAAGAAGCAAAAATGATAATTATACTAAAATATGACCTGAGTAACATTTCAGATGAATTCAAGGACAAAGTAAGAAACAGATTTGAACTACTGAGTATAATCGACTGGGAACCTGAAGAACTGTGGACAGAAGTCAAAGACATAATTAAGGACAAATGCAAGAAAAAAGAAAGAAGAAAAGCAAAAGCAAAGGGAGATGGGAACAAAGCCAGAAGTATGAACACAACTGTCCAACGCAGGGATAAGGAGAAATGCTACAATGACCCATGCAGAGAAATAGAAGAGAACAATAAGGGAAGAATGAGAGACATCTATCAGAAAATTAAAGCCAAGTTCAAACCGAGGACAGGGATGCTCTACGGAGAGAAAAAAGAACATAATACAGGAACAAGAAGAAATAAAAAGATGTTGGAGGCAATACACAGAAGAGTTATACAAAAGAGATGAGAGAATGAATTATATTTGGAATGAGGAGTCTTATGAAGGCAAACCCCAAATTCTAAGAAGTGAAATGGAATCTGCAATAAAGAAAATGGGGAAAAATAAATCACCGGGAACAGATGATATCCCAATTCAACTGCTACAGTGCCTACAGACAGATGCAACTTCAGTGCTAATTGAAATATGCCAACAAATATGGAAACCAAAGTGGTGGCCAACAGACTGGAAACGCTCAATACACATACCAATCCACAAAAAAGGAGACACAAGAGACTGCAGCAACTATAGGACAATAGCACTAATCTTACATGCAAGCAAAATAATACTCAAAATTCTGCAGCATGGACTCCAACCATACATGGAGAGAGAAATTCCACAGGATTCAGAAAAGGAAGGGGCACTAGGGACCTCACTGCAAACATACGATGACTTATGGAGCGCACCAAAGAATTCCAAAAAAGAATCAGCATGTGTTTCATAGACTACAGTAAAGTATTTGTTTGTACAGATCACAAAAACAACAACAACTATAGAATGCACTACATCTGATGGTCCTAATGAGGAATCTGTACCAAGGACAAGAGGCTACCATCAAGACAGAATTCAGGGAAACAGAATGGTTCCCAATAGGCAAAGGGGTCAGACAAGACTGCATCCTATCACCCTACTTGTTTAACTTATGTGCTGAAAACATCATAAGAAAAGCAGAATTAGAAACAGAAAAAGGGGGAGTTAAGATAGGAGAAAGCAACATTAACAACCTAAGATACGCAGATGATACCATAATATTAGCAGAAGACATTAAGGAACTGGAACAGTTAATAAGGAAGGTCAAAGATAAAAATGCAAAGGCAGCTCTGATGCTGAAAAGAAAAATAATAACCAAAGAAGAAATACACAAATTCAA